TGGTACAAGTGCTGAGCCCCTGCCACACATGTGGGAGACCTGGGACATTCCTGGCTCCTGGCTTCAGCCTGCCCCAGCCCTGGCCCTTTAGGAAATGAACCAGCAGACAAAAGATCTCTCTCTCCCTCTCTCTTTGACACTTCTTTTCTTTTCTTTAAGATTTATTTATTTATTTGAAAAGAAGCGTCAGGGGCCAGAGCTGCCTAGCAGGTAAAGCTACCACCTGCAATGCCAGCATTCCATATGGGTGCCCATATAGGATGCCGGTGCTTCAGACCTGGGCATTAACCTGCTGCGCCACAGTGCCAGCCCTAGAAACTGCTATTTTGAAACTATAAATTTGGAGTTACTTTAGGTATTTCTTCTTTTTTTATTTTATTTATTTATTTATTTATTTTTATTTATTTTTTTGACAGGCAGAGTGGACAGTGAGAGAGAGAGACAGAGAGAAAGGTCTTCCTTTGCCATTGGTTCACCCTCCAATGGCCGCCGCGGCTGGTGTGCTGTGGCAGGCACACTGCGCCAATCTGAAGGCAGGAGCCAGGTGCTTCTCCTGGTCTCCCATGGGGTGCAGGGCCCAACCACTTGGGCCATCCTCCAATGCACTTCCAGGCCACAGCAGAGAGCTGGCCTGGAAGAGGGGCAACTGGGACAGAATCTGGCGCCCTGACCAGGACTAGAACCTGGTGTGCCGGCGCTGCAAGGCGGAGGATTAGCCTATTGAGCCGCGGTGCCGGCCAGGTATTTCTTCTATCATTTGATGCCAAAAAAAAATTGCAATGCCATTTTATCCACTCATGTATAAATGTGAAATCTGGGGACTTGAGGTTATACACTAAATTTCAGTAAAATTATTTTTGCTGTAAATAGAAAAACTGAACCATTCAAACAGGATCAGAAAAACGATAAATAAAAACCTAAGGATGTTTCAGAGATGCACCTTGGGTAAGTTTTCACTTACCCAAATGTATCTAGAAGTGCTATAATCCTAGGAATTGGGGAAGGGAGAAGAAATAAGTGTTGTAAAATCCTGTACCCTGAGCCCATTGAGAACACTTATGGCTCTGTACTATGGTGAATAAAACAGCAAGAGATGACCAGCTCTGAAGTAGTTCTTCCTACTGAATGTGTAAAGAAACCAAGTAACAGCTCCTTAAAACACGATGTGGAGATGGGCACTTAGCCCAGCATCCAAGACACCATGACCATGTCCCACATCAGAGTGCCTGAGTTCAATTCCTGCCTCTGGCTCCTGAATGCAGTTTCTTGTTAGTGCAGACCCTGGGAGATGGGGTAATATGGAGCTCTCTCTATGTCTCTACTTACCCTTTTCCTTCTCTCTCCCTCTTTGTCTCTCTCTCTTCTCCACTTCCTGCCTCTCCAATAAAAATTTGGGGAACCAGTGTAATGGCTTCTGATCCAGCTTCCTTGCTAATGCCCCTGGGAAAGCAGCAGAAGATGGTCCAAGTGCTTGGGCCCCTGCCACCCACATGGGAGACCTAGACTGGACAATGGACTCCACCGTGGCCTAGCCCATCCCTGGCAGTTGCAGGCATTGGGAAGTGAACCAGAAGACAGGAGATCACTCTCTGTCCATCTGTCTCTATTTCTCTTTCTGCCTCTCTGCCTTGCAAATAAAATAAAAATAAATAAATGAAAGTTAAAAAAAAGTAATGTTAGCATATGTGTGTTTATACACACAGAGCTCCTAATACAAATTTACCAGTGTTTGAACTGGCTTTTCAGATCCGCACTGAACCAGCCACTTACCGACCTGGTCTTTCTTATGGCCAACACGTTCATGACAATTCTATGAGATTAAGTACATAAAAACGGCCATGAAAGATGAAACTCACTGACTCACACAATCCTGACCTCGCTGAGCCTTTTCCCAAAAGCGCAGAACAATGAGTCACTACTGTACGTGATGACTACAATTAATAACAATATATTGTACATTTTAATATTGCAAAGACAGATTTGAAGAGCTCTCATCCCCAAAAAATGATGCTTGTGAGGTAATCCATGTTAGTTTGATTTAGCCATTCTACAATGCAATATATGTATGCAAAGTATTTCACTTGTCAATTTAAAAAACCAACAATTTACTAAATGTTTTTCCCTTCTTCCTCAACTTGTTCTTCCTTTTTCCACCTCCCAGTCTCTGGTATTCTCAATCTGAATTCCACCTACCCTTCAAAATTCAATTTAAATCCCACCTTGTCTGTCATACCTTCCCTACCCACACCAACACCACCATACGCCTGATTTTTTTAAATTTATTTATTTCAAAGGCAGAGTGACAGAGGAAGAAATGGAGAAAGAGAAATCTTCCATCTGCTGGTTTACTCCCAACATGGCTGCAATAGCCAGCGAAGGGCCAGGCTGAAGCTAAAACTTCCATCCTGATCTCCTTCATGGGTGGCTGGGAACCAAGCACTTGGAACATCTTCCAGTGTCTTCCCAGACACATTATCAGGAAGCCTCCTAAGAAGAGGTGCAGAAGGGTCTTGAACTGTGTGCTGGGGCAGGCGGTGGCTTAACCTGCTGCACCACAATGCCAGCCGCCTCTCTGAATTCTAAAGTGCATCCTCATCCACTTTACAGTCATGCTCCATGTAACAACGTTTTAGTCAACAGTGGATCATATATGCAATGGTGGCTCCATTATCGTACCACCTAGTGACACAGTGGTCTTAGTTGGTTAAGTATATACTCTGATGTTCACACAAAAACAAAAATCGCCTGATAGTACAGTTCTTGTTTCTTGGAACATATTCCTGTAGATTAGGGGAATACATGACTACATTGTTACCTTTTTCCATGTCTGCCTTGTCTTCCCAAAGAAACTGTGAGATCCTTAAGGGCAAGAACTACATATTCTGGGGCTAGTGCTATGGCACAGTGGGCTAAGCTGCAGCCTGCAGTGCTGACAATCCATATAGGCCCCTGTTTGAGACCTGGCTGCTGAACTTCCAATCAGCTCTCTGCTAATGTGCCTGGGAAAGCAGCTGAAGATGGCCCAAAGCCCTGGGACCCTCCCCTCGTGGGAGACACAGAAGAAGCTCCTAGCTCCTGGCTTTGGCCTGGGCCAGCCCTGGTCATTGCAGCCATCTGGGGCATGAACCAGTGGATGGAAGACCCCTCTCTCTACCTCTGTCTCTCCTCTCTCTGTAATTCTACCTTTCAAATAAATAAAAGAGCATGGCACTAGTCTGCAATCATAAACCTGATAAACAGCAGGACAAACATTATTTAAAAAACTACATATTCTCCCATGTCACCCAGGACATCCAGCAGAAAACACTGCACATGAGTAGGAAGCACATTCAACTGTGTCTCAATTTACAATTCACGCACAACAAATAATAAATCAGACTAAAAACCCCAAGAACTTCTCCAGGCAGCTAAGAATAAGAAAAACATCTATAAAACCTTTCATATTATCCCTTTGAAGTTAGGACTTTAGATGATAAGGGAAAAAAAAGATAATAAGTTGTGGAAACCGAAACCAAGTCTTCTCCCTCTTGAAGGCAAAATAATGAACAGCGACTTAAAGATCCGAAGAGCAAAGGGCGCAGTCAGCGACCTGTCGCCAGTCACACACACCAGGGCTGCGTTCCAAACTGCCTCTCTGTAGTTAGAGAATTCTGGAGGCTCTGATGTCTGTTGGAAAAGCACAAGGCACCTGCTCTTCCCAACGGTGAAATATGCCAAGACGCACATAAACACACACCAAAATCAGCAGGCAAAGCCAGGAGCACTGAGATGAAACTATGATCGTGCAGTGGGAGCAAATAGAGAAACCAGAAAATGCCATCAAAACACAACTTGTCAGGTGAAAAGGCTCTCAAATACCCGGTAAGTGTTGACTCACTGGACTCCATTGTGTTTCTAAGAAATAAGAGATGGGGACACACACTTCAGTGGGGCTTCTAGACTGCATGAGACACTGTAATACACAGGGAAGCTGTTCTGCAGCCACTGTCTGAAGACTAATTATTTAAAGACAGCCAGCCAAAGGTAGGATTAACATTCACCCTGCTGGGGCTCCCCACAGGAGCTAAAACCCAACCCAAAGCAGCTTCTGGGTTTGGGGCCCCAGGCGCTGGTGGAAGTGTTTTCTTTACATACCACAGCACTACCTCTCTAGGGGCTAAGAGACAGTCTGGCAGAAACTGGTTTAAAAAAAAAAACAAACCACCAATCTGATGTAAGAGGAAGCGGTCCCCAACATCTGTCCTGGATCTTCTTCTTGAGTGACGGGGGTGGGGGGTGGTCGGTAAGGGAGGCGGCACTGAAGACACCCGCAAGCGGACAACCCACATAAACTAAGTTCCAACAGCTTCCTGCCTGCTTCCCAAAGCCCTCGCCTCCGACAGTCAGAGGAGCGCCGGGCACTCTGCAAGTCATCAGGACACCGCTGTTTTCACTTTCACATGAACCCCAGGAGAAGGGCAAAACCCCCTCTCCCCAGTTACCTCCCACCCCTGGCTCGTCCCTAGAGACCACCGAACAGGGACAAGCCTCAGCAATCCGCTATGTTTCTCCAGCGAGGCGGGGGAAGCGGGAAGATCTGGCGAAAAGTGGGAAAGGGAATCGGAGGAAGGCGAGGAGCAGCAGAGGAAAGAGTACTGGGGGAGGGGAGGTCACGGCGAGGAGCGGACAAGGTGAAGAGGGCGAGAAGATTCAGGGGAAAGTTGTCAGAGGAGAACTTGCTGAGCAAGACAAAAAGATGGAGGGGACACAGGCCAAGCGCAGAGAGGCAGCGAGGGGCAGGTGAAGCAGTCTAGCCGGGAACAAGGGCTGGGCTGGAAGAAGGGAGCCAAGGCCGTGACGCTGCAGGCTAGGGGCCAGGCACCGGGGACAGTGGACGGCAGGTACTCGGGTGACCGATGTCAGGGGAGTCAGGTGGATACGAGAGGCTTAAGACCCAATTCCGGGACATTGGGGCCAGGCATCTAAGCAGGAGCCAGGCGCAAAGGAAACGGGGCTCTTACCGGTAGTTTGGGGCTGACCTCGCCCTTGCAAAAGTGGCAGAAAAACCGGTGCGCGGCTACGGCGGCGCCCGCGTCCGCACCGGCCGCCGAAGCCTCCGCCATTTTTCTCCTCCGCCGCGGCTGTCCGACAGGGCGAGCGGTCTGTCCCTCACCAGGCCGCTACGTCCCGGGCTGCGGTCGCCGCCGCAGCCGCCACCGCCACCACCGCCTCAGCGCGGCCCGCCGCTCCACAGCACAGCCCGCCTCGGTCACGTGAGCCCGCCGGGCCCAGCGAGGCGGCGGCGCGGACGGCGAACCCGCGGCCCGCCCCCGGCACGGAAGAGCGCAGGAAGGCGCGTCCGCACCCCGCGGCCCGCCCGCCCGCCGGCTGCTCAGACAGCCCCCGGCCGGTCCTCCGACCTTCCAGCGAGAAGAGAGAGAAAGAGCGTCCCGGAAACCACCGACACTCTGGGGTAGAGCGGCGCACGTTTTTCGCCCTCTCGGCGTCCTGCCCCTGCGGCCATCCTCTTCCGAGAGAGGGCCGTGGGCTCCCCCTCTGCCCTGGCGGCTCGCGGGTGCCGCAGGAAGCCGACGTGGGGACCTCGGCGGCGTTTGGTTTGCAGCCCCTGGCTTGGTTGACCCTGAGGTTAGTGGAAAATGCTGTCTGAACCAGCGGGCTTGGATCTGAACAGAGAGACCAGGACCGGAAGGGGAGCCTGCGTGAAGGGAGTGCAGGAGCAGGAGCCAAGCGTCTTGTAAATCCCGTCCAGGGCTGGCGCAGAGTCAGGGCAAGTGAATGGGTGAACTAGGTCTCGGGTGATCCTGAGGCCGGGGCACAAAGACGTGGCTTCCAAGGAGTTGGGAGAAATAAATGAACAGTGGTAGCAGCAGTGGTAAGAAAGAAATCATAAAGCCAACTGCGTCCGTTTCTGTTTGTGTCGCCTTTGTCAGAATTAAATTCTGCCCTACCCACAATGTAACTTCATCTCCTGTGCTGAACACGCTGTGTAGAAGCTCTCCTTTATCTCCCGATTTCTTTTTCTCAGTTGTCTTTTCCTTTATGGACTGGGAATGGCGCTGCCTGTTCACTCTCAGTGGGCTGTGACAGTGACTTTAATGCTTCCACAATGAAGTGTAGAATCTAGGGTCTGTGACAGACTGCAAGATCAATACGCAGTCTTTTCAGAAAAACACGGTGACTCGTAATCCCATAAAGTTGATGTATAGTCTTTCAGTCTTTTTCCTATGCATAGTTTAAAAAAAAAACTAACAAGAATTACTCTACATTTTCCTTTGCAACTGCTTCCGTCATGTAATATGAACATTTTTCTAATATATATTGTTCTAAATAATTTTATATATTGGAAGAATATTCCTTTGTATGGGCATGGCATAATTTATAAGACAGTAGGTTTTTTCCAGTGTATCAGCATTATAAGGAAAATAGTGACATCTTTTAATTATGTCTTTGGAACATAATGTCCAAAGTGAAATTGTTATGCAAGACTTTAAGACTTTTGATGTGTATTGTCCCAGTGTTTCCCAGAAAAGATACATAAATTTATAATAAGCAGTTCTACTCCAAACATGAAAAGGAAACTATATTATATATTTTTGTTTTTCCTAGCTCTGAGACTCCCCAGGACAATGACTCAAGCTGAAATTAAACTCTGTTCTTTGCTACTGCAAGAGCATTTTGGAGAGATTGTAGAAAAAATTGGAGTCCACCTAATCAGAACTGGCAGCCAGCCGCTAAGAGTAATTGTCCATGACACGGGAACATCACCGGATCAGGTATGTTTAGGTGACATTAATTTGCTCTCTTTCACCTGCCTTTGAATGGTGTTCCTCCCTACCCTAGAAAATGAAGGCAGAAAGCCTGCCCTAGGATCAGAACAGTGTTGCTTGAGGGGAAAGAGGATGAAACTTAGGTCCCAGGGTTTTGTTTCTCAAAGTGTTCCTAATTCATCAAGGCTTCTTAAACAAATCTTGGAGCTGGTGCTGTGGCACAGTAGGTTAATCCTCTGCCTGTGGCACCAGCATCCCATATGGGTGCTGGTTCTAGCCCCAGCTGCTCCTCTTCCAATCCAGCTGCCTTCTATGGCCTGGGAAAGCAGTAGAAGGCCCAAGTCCTTGGGCCCCTGCACTCGTGTAGGAGACCTGGAAGAAGTTCCTGGCTCTGGTCCAGCTCCAGCTGTTTGGACCACCTAGCAAATGGAAAACCTCTCTCTCTCTGCCTCTCTGTAACTCTTTCAAATAAAATAAATAAATAAATCTTGAGGCCAGTGCTGTGGCGCAGTAGGTTAATCCTCTGCCTGTGGCACCAGCATCCCATATGGGCTCCAATTTGAGTCCCAGCTGCTCTTCTTCCAGGCCAGCTCTCTGCTATGGCCTGGAAAAGCAGTAGAAGATGGCCCAAGTGCTTGGGCCCCTGCACCTGCACAGGAAACCGGGAAGAAGCTTCTGACTCTTGACTTAGGATCGGCACAGTTCCAGCCATTGTGGCCATTTGGGGAGTGAACCAGCGGAAGGAAGACCTTACTCTCTGTCTCTCCCTCTTAATTGTCTGTAATTCTACATCTCAAATAAATAAAATCTTTTTTAAAAAATAAATAAATCTTTAAAAAAAGAAGCAAATATTTGCTCTTCCCATTCCATATCTGATTTATTTTCAATAAGTCTACTAATCTCAGTACTATCTTTAAGGAATGAAAATGATATAAAGTAAATTATAGTTCAAAAGATAAGGACCAGAGGAAATATGAGTATCAAAGCAAGGATGGCCCCGATTTCTTCTGTTGGCGTGTTGTTATTATTAGCTCCTGGATCAGAAAGAGGAAATAAGCACATGTTCTTTCTTTTCTTTTCCTTTTTTTTTTTTTTTTACATTTATTTATTTGAAAGATGGAGTTACAGAGAGAGGGAGAGATAGAGAGAAAGGTCTTCCATCCACTGGTTCACTTCCCAAATGGCCTCAATGGTTGGGACTGAGCCTGGACAAAGCCAGGAGCTTCTTCCAGGTCTCCCACTCGGGTGCAGGGGCCCAGGCACTTGGGCCATCTTCCACTGCTTTCCCAGGCCAGAGCAGAGAGCTGGATTGGAAGTAGAGCAGCCAGAACTCGAAACAGCACCCATTTGGGATGCTGGCACTGTAGGTGGCAGCTTTATCCGCTACACCACAGTGCATCTAGCTGAATCTTGATGCTTAGTAAGCTGTTGAACCAAAAAGTTGGCAGCAATAATGAGCTCTGTCTTCAGATCCTTTCTCTCTTTTGGGCCCTGTCTAGGTGAAGAAAGCCCTTTGCGTCCTCATCCAACATAACCTGGTGATATATCAAGTGCACAAGCGCGGTGTAGTGGAGTATGAAGCCCAGTGCAGCCACATGTTGCGAATGCTTAGGTATCCGCGGTACATCTATACTACCAAAACACTGTACAGTGATACTGGAGAGCTGATTGTTGAAGAGCTGCTGTTGAACGGCAAAATGACCATGTCCGCTGTTGTGAAGAAAGTGGCGGATCGGCTCACAGAGACCATGGAGGGTCAGTACCACATCCACAGCTATTGGCGAAAGCATAGACTGGCTGGCTACAGGAGTGAATCCCAGCTACCCTAAGCCATCTCACCTGTCTCTTTACTCCCATTGTGCAGATGGCAAGACTATGGACTATGCTGAGGTATCAAACACGTTTGTGCGACTGGCAGACACACACTTCGTACAGCGCTGTCCCGTGGTGCCTGCCACTGAGGATTCAGACTCTGGGCCTCCACCGCCTGCCCCCACGCTTGTCATTAATGAGAAAGACATGTACGTGGTTCCTAAACTGAACCTGATAGGTAAGGAATTTTGACCCCTGGAACTGTGGCTTACCCTGATTGTAGATTCTTCTTCGTTGATCGTTGAATGAATCAGTTGAGCATTTGTCAAGTATTTGCTTGATGTGTACCAGACATTATAGCCTATCATAATGAAAAATCCATGGTCCTTGCCCTTATGGGGTCTAAGTCATACAAAAGACATACATTAACCAAAAATCACTTAGATATATGACAAACTGTGGTGAGTACTATGAAGGAAAACTAGGAGGCATTCTAAAAACATATGTTGGAGAACAGGATTTGTCTGGGCACTTAGGGGTCGTGTTTCTTTGAGAAAGTGACATTTGAGCTAAGATTCAAAGCACAAGTTGGAGCTAACCAGTGAAGCAACAGAGGGTAAACATTTTTGGCAAAGGGACTTTTTGGTAGTGAGAAAAAAAATTGGCATTTGAAGAGGTGAAAGGTAGTCAGTGTGGCTACAGCAAGGCGAACAAAGGACAAGGGGAGAAATGGGAGAAGGGTCAAGAGAAAGTCAAGAGGCTAGGTCAGGCAAGCTTACACAAGGAGTCTTCTCAGAGTTTGTGGAAAATGTATATTATGGAAACACTGTGCATGAATTTCAAAATTGTACACTCAAGTTATCTTTTTTAAAGATGTATTTACTTATTTGAAAGTCAGAGTTACACAGTGAGAGAAGGAGAGGCAGAATGAGAGAAAGAGAGGTCTTCCATCCACTGGTTCACCCCCGAATTGGCCACAACAGCCAGAGCTGCGCCAATCCGAAGCCAGGAGCCAGGAGCTTCCTCCCGGTCTCCCAGTGGGTGCAGGGGCCTAGGCACTTGGGCCGTCTTCTACTGCTTTCTCAGGCCATAGCAGAGAGCTGGATCGGAAATGGAGCAGCCCAGACTCAAACCAGTGCCCATGTGGGATGCCAGCACTGCAGGTGGTGGCTTTACCTGCTATGCTACAGCGCCAGCAGATTTTAATTCCATTTTCTACAAAATTTTTGAAATACTCTGATAGAACATCTACTCTTTATCCTAAGAGCAAAGGAAAACCACTAAAGGATTTTAAGCAGGGGAGCAACATAATCTAATTTAGATCTGTAAAAGCAATAGAAAGGATAGGAGGATGAGACAAAAGTGAATGTAGATAGCCTGGAGGAAAATTAGGTACAGAAGGGGTGAGGGAGGCAGAGGGATCCAGAATGACGTGTGTGTGTCTGACTTGTGCATGTGGGAGGATGGTGGCACCGTTCACTGAAAAAGGAAGCATTGAAAGAGGACCCAGTCTGAGGGAGAAAGATTAGGAATTCCATTTTGAACTTGCTGAACTTCAGATGACTTCATCATTTCTTTGAGTTTCTTATGGTTCTGAAGTCTCCTAAAAAACTCATAACCTAACAGCAGCCACGGATGTCTTTGGGATGAAGAGAGAGAGAGAGAGCCATTCTCAGGTCTGGTCATTCCCTGTCATCATATGAGATACAGCCTAACTGTTCA